GGATTAAAAATTGTAATGGATTTGTAATGGATTCTCACTGTGAAGGACCATAGAATTACTCATCAATTTTTGTTCTACTGCTAAGTGCTAAGATATCCACTAGCTTTCTGGTCGAGTTGAATTTGAGTATTATTGATCTGAATCCAATTTAAAAAGTTTAGAACTGAGCTCAACTCGTTAGCATAGAATTCTCAAGCCATACTTGAACTTGAAATAAAAAAAATTAAAGTTTAACTTGAGCTCGAAACAACTTAAATTCAAAACAATCTCAAATTTAACTCAATTAAAGCTTGGTTCAAACTCTAACGTGAACTTTAAGTACATGAAAATATTATATTTCATTTTTTATAAAACATATAAATATTAATATCATTAATAATTTAATTAAAATTAAAAATTTAATATATATATATATATATATATTGAGTTGCTCGTGAACTTTTCAAGTAAATATAAAATAACTTATTTCGATTCATTAAGAATTCAAATTGAATTCGATAACTCAAATAATTCATAATATATTTGATCTCATTTACATCTCTAAACGACCTTTTCCTTTTTCTTCATGAAGTGGAGCCCACAGGACATTGTGAGCAGCCTTATCATGATTGAAAACAGAGACTAGTAAAATAGATTTTAGTAGCAGAGACTAGTAAAATAGAGATTGGATTGTTAGGGGACATTAGTTAAGTAAATGTGGTTTCTATTTATTTCAAACAATTTTTGTTAAACGTTGCCTTTGGCTACCGAAAGGTTACTAGCCGAAGTGCCTTTTACATTCTGACTAATTAATTAAAGAATCGGATTAGGGTTAAGCAACAATCATCATCATCCGCATAATAATATTCTCCTCGCAAATATTCATTTACGGCTGCATTCTTTGAATGCCTGCTTTGCTATCTATCTCTCTTTTAACATATGACCGACGTCACAATTTGGAATTTAAAACATTTTAACGAAATTTCAGATTTATTAATATTCTTATTCTTTTGCTTTATATGTTCCGTTTTCCTTCCAATCTATTTGGTCAAACGCCACTTGGTATATATTCTGCATATATTAATGTATTATCTTTATAGGAAATCGACGACTACACTAACCTTTTTCAATATAATTAATATCATTTTCATTACGAACGAGCTCATTTGCTTTCTTCCAAAAAAAAACCTATATAATTTAATTATTTCATATTATTTTTTTGGTTAATTAGTCTAACATATCAAATCCCCATGGATGGATAATCGACAAGGAAAGCATCACGGGACTTAACTACACTATATATAATTAAAAACTTGGAATTTTTTTTTTGTAGTCTTTGAATATTACATCATGACAAAATTGTTAAGGCGTGTGACAAGGACAATAAGGTTTGCTAAAGCTTTATTTCTGTAACCCTCATGGGTCTAAGATCAATAAAAATGGTAAGTATCAAAATTAATTTTTTGATATTACGTCTTTGACTGATTTTCTTAATATATATTATGAGTTTTAGCAAATTTATAATAAACTAATCAGGCACTAATTTATGATAAATGTCACATATTGGGAATATGGAGAGTTTTATAATAAATTAATTAGACATCAATTTAAAAGGAGTAAATTATATATATAAAAAATCAAACTAATAGTAAATTTAGCTTGAATCCTTATTTTTACCTGTTATGACATAAATTCATGAGTAAATCAAAGCTAATCCATTACACGTCGGAGGGATTAAGGTTGTCTAGAATTCAGGGTCTTCTAGATTGTGGATGCGTGACAAATGCTTTAGATAAATTAACCCAACTTAGAAAATTAGAAGAACATTCCATAGCAGAAAACAAAAATTGCTGAAAAATCAGCACTAGCCGGCCCATGGTATTGCAAAATTATACAACTTTCGATTTTCTTGCTTGTGTCGTTATGCGTGTGGCACATTAGATAAAAACAATATTAGAATAAATATAGAAAAATAATAATTAAAACAGGTCACACCATGAAAATAAAAGAGAGGGAAAGAAGGTACATTTCAAGAGTTAATGAGAAGTCTAATGTACAACTTTATTTTATCATTTTGAAGGATATGGAATATCAAATTTAAAAAATAAAAGTCCAATTAACAACATTCTTCTCTGTTCTTAATTCGATCTATTCATCTGCAATATTTATCGGAATTGAGAAGTCTTCCCTTTCCATATCTTTAAGTTCACACGCTGTCTTTTAGGCTTCCATTTCTCTGTATATATTCTCCACAACCACCACCTCTCTCTTCGCCTCTTTATATTCATAAATTCCTAATCATCTCTTTCCTTAAGTAAAACAAATATACATATGGCTAAACTTGTCATCATTTTCGTCTTAACTCTTCTCCTAGTTTCCACTCTATCATTTGCCGCTCGCTCTGGCCCTGCTTTGCCTACTGCAAAAACCCAGGATGAGGTTACTTAACTTTGACAGAGTTTTGCTTATCTTCCTTCTGATTTGTTCTCATCTAAAGTAGTTTTAATTGATGATTTTGGGTTTTGATAGGGTGTTGCTGTTGAAACTGAAGCTGTTGAAGATAGTTGTGATGGAGTTGGAGAAGAAGAGTGTTTGATGAGAAGAACTCTTGCTGCTCATGTTGATTATATCTATACCCAGAAGCACAAGCCATGAGAAACTTTTTGCTCTTATTTCAAGTTTTTAACTATGAAATTGTTGAGATTGTTGATTATATGATATATATTATACTCTTGTTTTTGTTTATTTATACATGTTTTGAGTTTCTCATATTCATTTTATACTACTTTTCTAATGTTAAATATTCACATATATTAATCCGTCAACAATTCTGTAATTTGTTGATAAAATACCTCAACTTTTAATTTTAGAAATCATTTAGTATCAAATTTTGATCATATAGAAAATAATTTAAAATAGTATTTTCTCTCTTTAATGATTTTGCTGGAAGTGATTTAATTGGCCAGTGAATGTTTCACTATTCTTCTATGTTGGAAAATATGCATAAATCATTATGGAAAACTATATGTACTAATCATTTTGCACAGTTTAAAGGTGACGTTGGACATAAAAACATGCAATGTGTAAATATATTTAAAAATATGTAGAGGTAAATACCGTCAAATATTCGGAATATATATGGCTGCCAACAACTCAAGCTATATATTTATTTATGTCAAATTATTCCCTTAAAAATAAAAAATTAACAAATTAAAATAAAGGTGTTCAAGTATAAATATATGTCCTACCAACTACCAATTAGTTTAGTAAGACCAGATTTTAATATTGTTAAACAAATAAATAATAATTAAGTTAAAATTTTGATGTTTTGAATGAAGTTGGCCGAATTAAAAAGATCATTTTATAATAAATTTGTGTAATATTCAATTTGAATTAATCAATTAATTGATCAAATATCTGATTACATAAAAAAATATTTAATATAAGGATCAGAACTTGTTTGGTATAAATTATGAAAATGAATATGAGATAAAATAAATAATTCATTCTTAATATTAAATAAAACTTGAACATTGGAATATCTAAACCAGCAGAGGATAAACCATTTTTCGTGCTGCTTGGATTAAAATATAAGACACGGTTATTTATTTTATTGTTATAAAAGCATTATTTTCAAATTCACAAATATTATTGTCAAGAATCAACATAAATAATTTTTATAAAATGTACACATATACGTAATAAAAATGACTTTCCTCCTCCCATTCTTCAATTCAAAATATAAAAACAAGCAAACAACCGAAAGCAAGAGAGAAGTGGAAACTCCTTACATATGCATGTTCATCTTCTGTCAACCACCAAAAGAACTGTCCAACCAAAAAGGACAGCAAACTTGGAGGATTTAAATGCAGCTAACACAGTTGAAGAAGATTGGGAATATAGTTGACAGTTGAAGTTTTATTTATAGAACACTATTATTAATCATAGGTTACAACTGTTTCATCATTTGGTGAATTAATTAAGGCATGAGAAACATGGTTTGAGTTTGATGTTTGTTAAGAACGGATTGGTGAGTCAATGCTAAAGCGAATAGACATCTTACCTACCCACTATATATAGGCCATATGTCTTAAAGATTCTTTTATTGTTGGACCAAGTCTCTCTCTCCCTCCTATTTTCTTTTATCAAAGATAATCATAATTGGTACATGAGATTCTTTTCCTCAGTATCAGTTTCATATTTTTATTTTCAATTACAAATATATTTTAATTTCGTAAATCCTATTATGAAAAAGATGCAAGTTTTGAATCTAGGTTCCTATGAAAATTAGTATGATTTATTGTAACTATATATTTGAAAAAAAAATAAATATATGCCTTTTAAATAGACTTGTTATAGCACTAATAAGATACTTCTGACGGTACTTTTGATGAATTTTTTCTCATATTAATTATGTAATTTTAGTTGATATTTCAAAATTTATTGGGGTGACTGTATTAAGTTTATGTTTGTATTTATATAAATATATATTTTTTCAACATATTTCTTGTATATTTAATTTTTTAGATGAAATTCTCATTATTTTTTTCATTTTATTCAAAATTTTCATATTGTCATCAGGTAGGAAAAAACATAACTTGTAAAGCATGTTTTTTAAAGCCAATATTTACATGACGCGTTTTTTACCCTCCGGAAGCGGTAGCGGGTAGGTTAAGAATAGACAAAAGTGCCTAGATAGGCCAAAGTTGTAATTCATCCTTTGTCAAACCAAAAAAAAGGATACAAATCTTATATAAAACGAATGTTATTTTAGGTATTAATTTTTTAAAGTTGTCTTTATTCGGTTGCTTAAACAAAAGGGGCTCGGATCTGGGTCTGATCCACAGTAATGGGCTTAAAGCTTGCTTCTTCTTCTTCCATGAATGAAGATGATTCAGAAAGACTGAGATTGAAAGCCCCAAAACCCTGGACGAAAATTAGGAAAAAGGCTTCAACATCAAATTCTGTAGCTGATATATGTCTCGAATCTCCCAATTCTTATTTATTTACTTTAGGGGGATTACAGAGTAGAAACGATCGTAAGAGGAAGGGGAAAGATCTTAAATTGAAGTGAGGTGGGAAGATATGTTTAGAAGAAGCAAGTTTCTCAATTTCCCAATGGTCATTGGAGCAGTCATGTAAGTTTCATTATCTTGCCTTTTCGCTTCTTGTTTTTTTTTCAATTTATTTCTTTTATATCAGTTGGATTTTCCATATTTTGCTTGCTTGTTACCCGTACATAACAAAAATCCCAAATAAATTATATCTTAAAAAACTTAAAGCTTTGATATACGTAGCAATAAGAAGGTTCCCATATTAAATTTAATCCAATAAAACCTATATCTGTTATGATTTTTTTGGGTACTTGATTTTGAGGGATGAAGTGTTGCAATTTTAGCTGTTGGGGAAAACCCATCAATAACATGAAGTGGAAGACAAATAAGTTGGACGTTTCAGTACAATGGGAGCTAAACATGAATTCTTCCTGGTAGATTACTGTGTATAAAATTTACTATATGAGAATTATACAACATTATCCCCTTCAGAAGATCAGAATTTCGAAATGCATCGTTTGGGTAAGATTGTTCTTGCTTTATTTTTGTGTTGGTTTTAATTTGAGCTTTATGACTCTCAAATGGTATAGACAGGTTCTCAGTTTGACAAAGTTACTCAAGTTTTTTGTAGTCTTGAAGGTTTAAGGAATCAAATTTTCCATATTTTCATTTACTATTATCTGATAGGCTTAGAGCTTTATAGAAGGCTTAATGCGAATTTGTGTAAATTGTTTTCATTGTTGAGGTAATTGAATATTTGGATTTTACAGAATTGGAGTTGTTTCTGGGAAGGCCATTTTCGGACCTCCTCTTGATGATTACTGGAAAAAGAAGCTTCAAGAAGAGGCTGCTGCAAAAGAGGAGACCAACTCGGCTTAGATGAATGTCTTTATTAAAATTTGTCTAATCTGGTCATTAAAAAAAAAAAGAGTTTCTCATCCATTTAATCTGTATTCTAACATTTGACGGCTTTTCTTGATGCAAATCGAGCTAGATATGAATGGAGGAAAAACTGGTATGCATCAAATTATTTTGTTCGCAGTTCAAGGATGGATTCCTTCTTCATATTGCTTTTGCTTTCTAAGAGATGAAAAGAATAAACAACTTTTGCTGAGCTTCATTTGTAATACTCAATGGAGGTGCCTGTTATGATTTATGTTATATTTTGTGCATACGCCTCCTCTTTTCCACTGCTTGTCTAGTTAAGTATTCAAATGTCAAACCCGACCGAAAGTAGGATATATGCTGCATTGCGATTTGCATGAACAAGAAACTGTGTAATGCTCCGGCTTTAGCTACTACACCATAAGCTTGATTCTAGTCTTTTTATTATTCATTTGTTGCATTCTGAAGCCTTGTTTTTGGTAGCACAGTGAGAGCAAAGGTTCCCATTGTGCTTGGGTGTTGTTGCCCGTGGACACCATTAACAAACCCCTGAATACTGTAATAGACTGATATTTTTCCATAGAAATATTTATGCTATATATGCTAATTAGGGAAAATCCGTGTATAACTCAAATACAAACCATCGAGTACTGTAATAGATTGATATTTTTCCATAGAAGAATTTAGGGTCATGTACTATACATCAGCTTAAAAGTTTATTCAAAAACATTTTTTATGAATCAATGTTTCTGATGCTTTGTCCAAAAGTTGTCAAGGTTTTATATTCCCATTCTAGCTGACCAGCTCGGTTATTTTTATTCAAGAAATCATGGTTAAAATTTATAATTTCATTTGTAAAATACCAATCTCGTCGCTTCATCCATCAAGTCATATGTAGTCGTTTACCCACAAATGGATAACATCTCATCTATGTAATATATATAATAATGTTTCTTTTTAGAATTTTCAAACTGGAAATTTAAATGGAACAATATTGAATTTAACGTCAATATAACATGGCATGATCTTATAACCAAATCAATTACATACAATATGGAGTATTTAGTTTAGTTAAAATGAAAAAAGAAATGCATTTTTTTAAATGAATACAACTGACACCAGTGAAGATATTCTTCCAGTCATATATTTGATTTGGCCTTAGTATGAAAGTGCTGTCAATACTTGGATGTTCACTGTCTTATTTAAGCTCTCCCACAACTTGGGTTAAAATATCTTATATTATATGTTTTTTATTCTGTAAAGATGTCGGCAGAGGGCAATGTCTGCTATCAACATTCTGTTTCTTTCCTTCTCAACTAATAATACTAACATATAAGTATTAATCAATTCGTTTCTTAAAACACCCATAATATTATATATATATATATATATATATATATATATATATATATATATTTGTGGGTGGACGAAAGTGACTCCAACTTATAATTTTCGTTAATGGGACCGAGTCAGTCGCCTCATCTCAGCGCCACCCTGAACCTCAACCGAATATTTCCCTCTATGGCTTTCAAATGTCGCAAATAATCACTTTAAATAAATGTTACCCCTCTCGTATTCATACTCTATTGCACGTCAAATTGTATACGAAGAAAATTTTTCTTTATATATTTTAATAATAGGGTCGGTCCAAGAAATATCTTGTTTTCCTCTCAAATTTACTTCCCTCGCAACAAATTATAAGAAACCAAAAAAAGAATAATAAAAAAAGAAAAACATGAAAGATTGTAGTTAGTATTATACTTGTCACCACATGTATGTGACAATATTATTCTTGTTCATGACTAATTTTTCAGATGTATACCTTTGAAAAGATTGTGCTCACTCATTGTCACTCTTTCGAATGTATGTATTCGAAAACATTGTTTTTGTCCATCCATCTAACAGTTGATGAATGGAACAATAATTATCAAAACCAAACTACTAAATCACTTCACGATCAAACAAATGAGATACACAAGTGAGATAGATCCCATGATGTTCATAAGTCATCACATCAAACCTATTAGCATATATCTCATTTATTCACCTATCAATATCCATATTGTGGCACCTAAGAACAATGTCAACAAGGGGTATAAAAGAAGGTTTGACCCTACTGCGAAAGGAATCTCCCTTCTTTTGAGATATTATCTTTATTTTTGTTCTCCACAAACTTTTAAATATTTTATCCGGTCATTCTTCGTTAACATTGAATGAAATGAATCACCATGAACCATCAATATTTAGGATTTAAAATTTTATGTTATAAATTAATCTTAAACAAGTATTTATTGATCTCTTATTTTACACGTTTTATGTTAATTTTGAATTATAAATAAATAAAATTACAATTGATCAATCAAATTTATACACTAATTACTATTTGACCTTTTGACTAACATTGTTAAATTGAAGTATCTGGTTAAATATAAAATGTATTTTTCAAATACTACATTGATATTTTGCATTAATTCAAAGACTGTAAAAGAGATTATCCCCAAAAATATGAATGTATCCAACAAAAATTTACTTGTTCTACACTTAATTTAGGCCTTGTTTGATAACCTATTGAAAGAATTCAATCAAATGAGCATTAATATGTTTAATGATTGAATTTTTAAATATGCTTAATGATCTAAAATAAAAACTATTTGTGATGAGTTTTCAATGAAAATGTGTGGAAAATGATATGTAGATAAAGGCCTGCTTATTGAAAAAAATTCAACATATTTTACTTTTTTATATTCTTAAAAAATTTTATTTATCAAAAAATTTGATTACATCTAGTGATTAATTTTAAATAAAATATCAAATACATTTTATACTTTAAATTAAACACTTAATTTTTAATTTATCAAACGAAACCTTAATCCTTATCCCTCTACTAATGTCCTAACCGGTTCCCCTTGAGCCCCTCTACTATAATATTAAGCAAACATTAATTACACCAAATAAATGGATTTAATTAACTCCATGCAAGTGGTGAGATCATTAGAGTTAATTCCGTGCTTAGGTACATTGTGGATAATTTTGGTTTCATTCATTTCATAGGGTTCTTCCCCCTTAATTGTTCTTTTGTGGGAGCACTACCATGCATGAACCCAATATAAGGGATAAATTATACTACTCAATGATTAATTTAGAGGTATTTCTTAAAGGGATAGATCGATGAACTACATACTTTGCTGACTGTTTTCAAAGCCAGTAAAGTAGTGATGGACCGAAGGGGAGGGTGGACAATCGTCCCTTGAAAATTTTAAATTCTTATATACTTTAGATATTTTCTTAAAGTCTGTCACTTAACAAAAAATCTTATTTCCGAAGGGGCAGGAGGACAATCGTCCCTTGAAAATTTTAAATTCTTATATATTTTAGATATTTTAGATATTTTCTTAAAGTCTGTCCCTTAACAAAAAAATCTTATTTCTAACCTTGAATATAAGCAAGTAGCTTTATTAATGACTAGGTGAAATAGCATACATTAACGACTTTTTCTACTACATATATGTAAACTACAATAACAAAAGAATGTAGTCTCTTTATGCTTGCTTGAGCGAGGACTAAATTATCAGCATATATTTAATAAAGTAATCAAGCGTTGATGATGATTGCTAGCTTGATGTATGATCTAAGGAACAGTGCTTTGCTCCAAGGAGGCGAGCGTACCGGGACTGAGAATGGGGAAAGCGCACCAATTATAAGAAGATGGCGACAGGTTCAATCCGAGTGAATTCGATGTCATCGTATTCATCGAATTATTAGAGAAACTCTGGTGCTGGGGTATGGTATGATCTAATCCCGAAAACAGATTCAGTGGTGCAGAAACTTCAACCCTAGACAACGGCGATGCTGCGACATGAAGAGGGTGAGGTGCCACTCTTTGGAGACGCTGATGATGAGGCAACTCAAACTGAGTTGTTGACGTTAGATTATGAGTTTGGGGCATGAACTCAGGTGCACCGGTTAGCTTCTGAACCAAGTCCCTGAAGTTTCTAGGGTCGACCGCGTAAACCTTGGGCGGCGTTGGTGGAAATGGTGCAATTGGCTTCTTCCAGGGCTTTGAAAATGGCTTACGCACGGTATGAAGTGATCCATGAAATGACGAAGCCTGTGGAGCCTTCAACCCTCGTGTTTCTTCGAAACCCGAAGCAGCAGCAACAGAAGAAGAGTAAGCTTCCATAGCGATAGTTCCTTAATAGAAAAACTATGGAGTCCGGGTTTTAAATTGCGGTCGCGGTCACGTTTTCGATTATTTCAGATTTACTGTGATTGCGGCCGTCGCGGACGCTATTACGGCCGTCACGGGTAACTCAGACGGCGGCGAAACCGCTATATCACGACTGAAATCACAATCGCAGACCGTTTTTTGAAACCTAATCCTACGTGCAAGTTGCCGAGCTTTTCGAATGAAGCTGATAATATGATGGAGCTGAAATGTTAGAATGTGTTAACACGGATATATATAGAAAAAAGAAGGGGAGAATAAGGACGAAGATAGCACAAATGGGACAAGATAATAATTGAAGAAATTAAAAGCAAACAACGGTGGGATGAATCTGATGGGCTGATGCTAAGAGGAAATTCAAACTGTCTTTTGTCAGCAGCCGGCTAATAGGTACAAACTACATAGGCTGCCAGGTCAAACTGCCTGACTTTAGACCTAATTTCTCTCATTATAAAAAACAAGTTTAAATAATCCTCTGTTTCGGGCCCATTCGTGCGTGCATTATTGTTCAGACTACAAGCTTTGAAAATGGCAAACATACAAAAGAAGTTTTAAACATATTAATTTCATAAATAAGCCCCTCAATCTTTTCATTCTTGCAATTCAACTTATTTTTAATTTTTTTTTAAAATAGCATGGGGTGACCATAATGAGTATCTGTTCAAAAAAAACTTAATCTACTGACAACACATCCTACAGATGTAACTACTAAAATCCGATTCCTAAAAAAATTAATTCATTTAAATAAAACATCATTTCTTATTTTAAATTACAAGAGCCATGGTTATCTAGCTGTTTTTTTCCTTTTACACAAATATTTTTTCATCTTTATATTAATTCACAAATTCACTCTGATTTACACATGAGATTTATCTAGATTTATTCTAGTGAGTTAGTTAAAAGTATTTTGATTTATTAGTCTAAATTCAATTAGCTATCAATTGAGTCTTAGTTTAATTGTTATTTTTCTAGAGATTATGGGTTGAATACACTCAAATATAACTATCTTTGATTTAAGGGTTCGAGAGATTATAGATAATTTAAGTATTTTATTAAAAACTATAATCATCAATTCTCATAATTTTTTATCGTAATTAACTAATTATTGGTAGAATTATAAAATTGGAACTTAAAACAATCAGTATACAATATTATTTCAAAAAAAGTTGAAACGATAAAATATGAAAATTAAGTTAATTTTATAATTAATTAAATCATAAACTAAATTATCTCGATAGTAAAAAAAAGGTTATTATTCTTTGAAGTATCGAATTCGAGTATCATAAATATAAAATGATTGATAGATATCTTTGAACATATATTATCTTATACTTATATCAAATTAATAATAAAAAAAAGACTAATTAAAAATTTAGCCTACTAAATATTTGTGATAAATTGCGAAATTAATAGGCAACCGTGAGAAGAAATTGAAGTAAATAATGGGAGGAGGTATTATCTCGAATAGCCGCCCCTTGTTTGACTTATCTGCAATCACTAACATCCTACACGTGATACCTCGTCGTCCTCTTTTATTGATCTATCTTTGACCCATATTAAATAAATAAATTATCTAATATTTTATTACTATGTCTTAATACTTCTAACCTGAAATTTATATCAGTTTATTTCTTTTAAGTTAATATTTATCTTTTTTTTACAAGATCTGAATGTCTTTTTTATATATTTTTATAATTATGAACATAATTAATATATTCCTATAATTATTGCCAATATCAATTAATATTTTTTTATTAATATCAATTAATATTATAAACAAATAAAGATCAATATATTAACATGGACCTGTTATTAAAATATTTAAAAGATTAGTTAATAATCAGAATGCATCTCCATTTAAATCAAAAATAAATTTATACATATGAAAAGTTAAATTAACTTGGATAGATTATAATTTAACTCTATACTCCTCATATTTAATTATTTTACTTTCATAATAAAAGATAATATTATTCTCTTTAAAAGATCTAAGTTAGAACAACTACATTTACAAATATATATAAATAAATATTATCTTATAATTACTAGACTATTCAAAAAAATGTTTTATTTTATTATTATTTTTCGTTATTTTTTAACCAATTAATTATCTTAACATTTAGTTCAATGGGTTTGTTTTTCCCCTCCATTTATATTAAGATATATGATAAAATAGTTTACCGACTTACGGATTTTTGATGGTAACATCTCTTCCCTATAAGATATAATAATGATAATAATAATTGTTTTCAATTTTCTAACTTATATTTGATTAAATAATATAATTCAAACTTTTGCAAAAATGACTAGATATTCAAATGGAAGAATATTGAATTTAATATCGTTATTGTATGGCATGATCTTAAAATCGAATATAATATTTGGTTAAAATAAAATTTATACGATTAAGGTTAAATTACAACTCACCAATTGAGACATCCTTACGTTGTAACCATTCCGTATATGGAAATTTGAATCTTATAATATATTCCAGAAGCTACTACTTGTATATAGGATTGGAGTAGTACTTTAATTTTATAAACAAAGGGGTAAATTACACGTTTAATACTCTAACTATTACTTTTGTTACGATTCAGCCATCTTATTATTTTTTGTTTTAAAATCATACATACGTTACATTTTGGTTTGATTTTAGTCACTCACCATTTAAAAATTAACAGTGATGTTGATGTGTCACCATAAGATAATGTCATATTATCATTAAGTTTTTTTAGAAATTATTACGTCAATAATTCTGTTAATTTTCTAACGACAGGTGACCTAAATGAAACTAAAACGTAATGTTAGATATTATTTAAAAAAAATTAAGTAATCAAAACAAAATAAAAGTGATAAATGGATATTAATCGTGTAGTTTACCCTAAATAAAGTTAAGAAATTGACATTTATCTATTGATTATATATAAAAAAAATTATATGTTACAAGCTGAAGAAATTTGAAAAGAGATATAAAGAATTGGAGAGAACAAAGAGTATATTTTTCATTCCTTTAAATCATATATTTATCGTATCTCTTGTGAATCTTTTCTAAAAGTCATACTTCTATCATCATTTTTTTGTCTATCAAATTTTGAGATTTTTGGAGTTTCATATTCTTCGATCAGTTATAATCTTTTAATATAATCACTGGTAGACCCATATGAGTTATCAACTAAATTTACTATTTGAGAGTTAGATTTGCCACCCTACTAATTTACAAATAGTCGTCATTATTATCTATCTGACACTAATACTAAAGGTTTGTAATCATGCAAGACTAAAGAATGAGTTCTCTCTCCCTTTTTTATTAAAAAATCGAGAGAATAATCGGTTGTGTCTCTCTGCTATAATAAACGTAGATTATGTCCAACAACAACAAAAAATCAGTTAAAATATCCACCAAGAGAAAAATAACTAGTTGTACCTTTTGTCTCCTTCCTAAACATCCTTTATAATTCATCATGTTATATGTTGAAAAGCTTGTTATTGTTGCTCTCAAGCTTGTGGCATGCAATGATGTTGTTTTCGGGGAGATTTTTGTCAGATCACGAATTAATTTTCTTATGAGAAAGAAGGATTTATCAATATTTTTAGGTAGATTTATGGATCAAAAGCCTAATTTGATACCATATCGAAATTAAGTATTTTTAGGTAGATTTCTCGATCGAAAATTTAATCTGATATATATAGAAAATAAATATATATCGTAGGTATATATAATTCTGATTATATTCTCCTAATTTTCTAATCTAAATCATACAATAAAGAAATCTACTCACAAACTTAGTACATGGAGATTTATTGAGATTAACTTATTTGTTTGTCCTTCATCTTTACCTTAGATAAGATAGTTGAAGATGAGACTATTCACACTTTAGTTGAGATGAGACTTAGAGTACAACTTAGCTACTTCCTAAGTAGGTACTAGAAAAGAACGTCCTTTTAACATATTTTGAAATGCTGAAGCGTTTCTATTGCACACAAATATTGGAGTTCTACTTCCTCCGCTTATGCATCAGAATTCTCTGTATTTTCCTGTTTTCTCTTAACGAACGTAAGATCATCTAATATGCATATAGTGTTGAGTTGTCTCTACCCATTATGTAGTGTTTCTTTAGAGAGTGTTGAGATGCATTCACTTATTATGAAGCGTTTCTTTAAGAGCGTCAAGATATCTTCTATCTGGTCAAGAACATCTATTCCCCTCTAACTAAAGAATTTTTTCACTATCTCTCAATTATCTCATCAAGAAAGTCGAGATACCTATGTTATATAAAATATAGATGTTATAGATGCAAATACCTAATTCGTGCTTAACCTTTAATTTTTTTGAATGGGACAACTAATGCATAATTAGAGTTAACTAACTTAAATAATTTGCATTTAAGCTACTTTGGCTAAATTAGGCATGCTAAGTTGATATGCCTTTTAAGAAAAACACCTAAATATGCTATACTTTACACAATTCTAATTAACTAAATAAATATTTTTTTAGGATTAATTAAATTAATTTTAAAATTATAATTATATTACAATCAAATATCATTTGAATCATTATGAATAGAATCAAATATTACAATAAAATTTCATACTAATAACTTAACTATATTTGAATTATAAGTTAACTACCCAAGTCTTAAAAGAATATATTATTTGAATTGGGTTTTGATCTAATAAATCTGAGGTCTATATCTGATTCACTATTTTCCAGATTGCCATCTCTGATTAACAAAATCCAATAAATAAAATTTGTTTGCCGGGAAATAATTAAAACTAAAATAATTTGGAAATGAATTGCAACATAGTTCTTACAACCTTTGAATTTCTGTATTTGGATAAACATTTCTCTTAAATCGAGAAAGCATTATTTTTATTCAACGTTGGAATTTGATTTTCCTCCTGCTAGTGGAAAACTTGGGATTCAGACATATCAAAACAAATCGTATGAGATTAAAAGTTTTGTTTTGCTTCTTCATATACAGTAGCTGTTGTATGATGAATGTGTTCGTTGAAATAAATCGTCCATAATCCTACGTAATGCTTGAATATAAGAGAACCCACCAACACAAGTGGATCAACCGTTTGGACAACATTAATTCTCACCACCAATTCAAATGCTTATTCAAGGCTGTGCTGCAATGCGATACCATGGGCGGTGCCTCAACTTTTTTCACAAACTCAAACTACTCCTCAAGAAAAGCTCCAAACTGAAGTCGTATCGGTAAGAATAATCGTTTTGGTTGTAATTTATATTAATTTTTTATTTTATTAAAATAATTTCTAAGCTCGATGATTTTTTTGTAAAAGTGAGCGAATTCAATGAAGATTGTGATCTGGATTTCGTTTTGGCTTAACTGGTTTAATGAAGAAAGAAATTAAGAAAAAAAGGATGAAGATTTGACAGAGTTGCGTTGAGATTTCAAGCTTTCATACCACTTATAGAGTTTTAGTGTTCGTACAACTATAAATACGTACCAAAGATTTATAAATTTATAATTACATATTATGATGCGTTTAGTTTTTTTAATAGTTTGAAGTGATTATAATATAGTATATGTTTAAAACTTTCTTAACCAATTGACAATATACACATACCTTGTAGACACAACTACACAAACTCAGGACCTCTAAAGATAACAACATTCTCTTATTATTTAGATCACTTAATGAGTTATGATGCGTTTAGTTTTATATGTATATATACATTTTTATATTCTTTTGTTTATTTTGTAAGTAATATAAAGTTTCTTTCCTTTAATTACTCCTCCTTTTCTATAACAATTTAATATTGTCACTTGATCTTATTTATAAGTTGAGATGACTAACCTGAAACTTAATTATTACCGGTGTGAATGTGTGATGCTATATGGTCGTTTGATTTGGAAAGTTTCAGAACTTGTGCAAGGACCAATAAAGTTTTATTTTATTAAAAAGAACAAAGCAAAATTTAAGTTGGCTTATAGATGCAACTGTATGTTATTCTATGTTGGCTTCTCTAGATATTACAAACGCTGAGCTGTGCAAAGATCATTTAATGGGGTTTCCGCTACAAAACACAAATCGCGAACCAGAGTGGGCCTTTTCGTAGGACCATTGCTGCCAGAAAAAGAGTGTTGTTTCATATATGCCCAATATATTCATGTGTTTGCATAAATAAGATGTTAAAAAGAGTGTTGTTTTCATTAAAAGTTTTGGATTTAGATAATTATGTTTATAAAGTGTACGTTTTGTTAATAATTAAGAAAGATTCAAACATTATCTTGAAATCATTTCAAATTATTAAATAAAATAAGACGTTGAGATGCAACTCCTCACCGCATGATTTTCACTGACATGTCTTAATATTTGGTGTTTAAGTTCGGGTAATGATCCAAAATTTTCTTTTCAGTGCAAAAGGGTTGAACCTGATTGTTAGATTGACCACTCTAACAAGGAATGTCCACCAATGCATGCACGGCGGCGACTGTGATGCAATGGAAATACAACGAAGCTTAAGCCTTCTTGTCCAGCTTTCCACCACCAAAGTCTCATTCAAATTGATACAAAGACTTGTAATTATAACGTCACAATGGCAAATTATGTGTTTGACAACATCATATTTTTTATTCATTTTCAATCGCAATCGTTTGGTAATTTCAAATGTATGATCGTTTGCTATCCAGAATGAATGCATCTAATATTGTGCTACCAACAGCCCCACAGGCCACAACGTTTGACAGCTAAATTAGCTCCAAATGTGGATTGGCTCACTGGACATAAAAGACACATGAACATTATCCTAACTCTTTACGAGTTATAATATCACTTATTATTAAAGTATTGATCAAACACTTACTATTGTTTCGATTTTTTAACAGTTATTCTAAAGATGACATGGCTAATGGGGCTCTTAGTTGCAGAGGTTTCTTATAAGGAAAGAAAGAAGGGAAGTGGGGAATCTTTCCCTTGCTTTCTTCATCTTGAATCAAATCAAGACGGAGAAAATGGGAAATTTCACAATGTGGCACCCTTAATATACAACTAAAAAAATACGTTATTAGTTTTGTTATTATTTAAATAATAAAATCGGTAAAAAATTATCTAAAACTTGATTATTTCTATCTAAAACATCAATACTTTTTAACATTACCGGTAAAGTGCCCAACAATAACAAAACCGGTAGAAACAAAAATATTTTAGTAATTTTTTTACCGATTTTATTATTTAAATAATAACAAAACCGATAACACATTTTTTAACTATATGTTAAGATTGCGCACGTGATCATTCCCGTTAAATCCTTGGAGGTAACATGAAATGATAGAAAGATTACTTTTCTAAGCCATAAAAAATTGAACGAAGAGTTAAAAAAAGTAAAAAAAGACTACTCCAGTTTTTTTACTGATTCCAAATAGAAGAATTACTGAGGAATAGAGCAGTGAAACATTTCACCACAACAGTGATTGAAAGAGAGGTGACAATGGGTGTAGTACTCAATTTCTCCGACAAAGGAAGATGCAGACTTACAAAACATGGACCCCAGGTGTGCCACCATGACAACGATCCCCCCTCCAAATAGCAACAGTTCGACGCATGTGTAAAAGCTGTAACACCTCTCATTTTACCTTCCCTTTTTTCTAAACGTCCCATTAACCACGATTTTACATAAAAGGTCAATGTTGTTCTCTATAAAGACATAGAATTCGAAGTGTGTATACGTTATCAATATACTAAAAAAACATTCAAAGAGATACTACATTATAATTAAAAGAAATGATTTCTTTCCATGTACACATTGAATAGACACTTGATATCCAGAGGAACTGCAATCTCTCTACAACTGTGTGGTGCTAACAAATGCAAAAGTTCCACCAAAACCCAGATAAGGAAAAAAGGGTCAAGGCCCCTACCATACGAACAACTTGGGAGAAATAAGGGCCCCCCAACACCAAGGAGCAAAGCAATTCTTTGTCTATTACAATTGTGATTGCAAGCTCCAAAGTCTTACACAAATAGTACAATTCTATCCAACAACATACCCCACCAACAATAATCCATTCCGCATGAAACAATTTGTTCACGTCATTTATCCTTTTGGGGTTTTATTTCAAGGCATTGGAAAAGAGAACTTGATATGATTCCATTGCAGCATGAAATGTGTGTTTTTTTCCTTATCCACATGAGTGTTCTTTTATGTAAAGTTGAATCAAATTGCTGGAATTGAAGTGCTTAAATATGTTCAGGAGAGCTAATTCATACCTTAAATATGGCAGACCCTTTAACTTGTCATTGGATTGTCCTTGTGAGCTTGCACTTTGAGATAAAGATGGTGTCTGTATAATTTAGGCTACATAACTTCAAGAGCTCCGAAGACTTTTGCTTCAAGACGGGATTGCAACCGCTCTGAATCACGAGAAGCAACTTCGCTGCTAAACCGGCTTCTACCGCAACTGAGGAGCATTCCTCGGGGGCAAGTTTGCATACAGACCACAGAATTGACAATGCATATTCAGTACAGTTTTCTGAAACTCTCATCAAAAGCTTCACCATATTCGGAATTGTGTTTCTACAATCCTTCAATGCTGCTTTGCCTTCCGGAAGAGATGATAACGTGTCCAATATGAAAAGGGCTAATTCCAAGCAATCAGGCTCTAAAGCGGGCAACAATTCAACCAATTGAGGAACGGCTCCAATACTCACTGTCAAACTCATGACTTGTTTATGTAAACATATAGATCTAAGCAAGCTAAGTCCAGACAAGATTCCATTGGAGTGCCTCTTATCCTTCACTAATCGCATTAGACCGACCAATAACCGATGGCTGGAGATGCTCTCAGAGCGAAATTCTTTCTCCTCCATTAGTTTCTCTATCAATCGCGTACAATTGATCTTTGTCTCCACTGACCCTTCATTAAGCATATCTACCATCAATGAAATCCTTGTTGGCTGCATCAAATAGGTTTTGGACTCTGAATCAAGCTCCAAATTGACAAGGATGGCAATTGCTTCAGAACCAACGGCATGGGACGTAAATGGACCTAACAAGGATGAAATTAGAGAAACTCCACCTTCATCAACCACTGTCTTCATTGCAGTAGCATGCACTGCCACAACTTGCCTCAGCTCCTTCAAGGCTTGAATCCTGGCTTGACCCTTGGCCTTCTTCAATGTCTGAATAAGCTCACTTACCCTCCCTTGTACATCTTCGGATTTCTTCTTCATGAGCGAATACTTCTGCGAAAACCAAGTGTAAATCAAATGGTAAAGGGTTCTATTTGGAGTAATAGAATCATCCCAAAGTTCCTGCATTGTAGTGGGGCAAGTATAGTGCCCCAAATTGAACCATTTGAGAATGTTGGACCTCTCATAAGTTTGGCCAGTGCAAAGAGTAATAGGGTCTTGCATTGGCTCAAGAGAGATTGGACAAATAAACACAGAAGGAATCTCAGGTAAATCAAGCTCTTCAGTCATTTTCTTCAGATCCAATTTCTCACCAACATCAGCACCAATGATTCCACCACCAAAACCACCCAAAACCCCATCTTTAACAGCAGTATCCAGATCTAGGACTTGCCCATCACCACTACCATCAAATCCAGCAACAACAACCCCATCCCTCTTTGAGGGTTGAAACATAGGAATCTTTGAAACCAGCCTAGCCAAAAAAATGCAACACAGATTCTCAAGGACCCAAAAAAAAAGATTTTTTTAAAACCCCTCCACCACTACCCCAAACAAGCTCTAAATTCGCTTAACTGACAAGCACCATTCAACCCACATCACAAAAAAAGAGTGGAACTTGGTGTCTTTCCACTCAATTCTTCTCTCATTGACAAATCATAAAGCAAGAAAAAAATCCTTTATTTCTCCCCCCTACAAGCTCACACATATGCATCACACTACCATGCTCCTTTCCCTTTGCTTTATTTTGATCTCTTTTCTATGGTCAAACGTTCCTCATTTTACAATCATCATAATGACAATAATATCACTAATAAACACACAATCAAGGTCCCATCTTTCACTTTTGTACAAGCTTCAGTAAAGATAAAAACTGTTTGCTGGGTATCAATCAACAAACCCCCAAAACAAGTAAGGCAGAGAAAAGAAAAATAGACGTTTGGTTTACAGAATATAATATTATCTTTTAAAATAATATTAATGAAATGTAATATTAGTATGAAAATATTGTATTATCTTATTTAGTTTGTTTAGTAGTACTGTAAGATTACATTATTTAGTTGGAGGAATATAAGATTAGTTAGATGCATATTTTACTAAATTATCATTGTGATATATTTTTTAAAGTTAAACTTTAATATTAATTTATAAATATTTGTATGAAAATTCATAAAAATATTTTAATCGTTATAATAACTAACTTTTGAAGAAAAATTACATTTAATATATAATTAATATAATTAGTATATTAAATTTATATTTTTAAATAATATTTATAAGTATCATATTTATTTATATAAAATATAATATAATATAAAAAATAATATTATGGTAGTAAAATATTATTTTAAATAATTACATTTTACAATAATATTATTTTGTAACTTATAAAATTATAAATAGTAAAATATTAAATATTAAATATTAAAATTATCAAATATTTAAATTTTTAAAATTGTTAATATTTTAGTAAATCAAACTCTTTGTATATTATTATTATTTTTATAATTTTGAGTAAAATATAAAAAATAAAATTTAAAAAAAAATATTATAAAAATAATTCATTAATCCAAGGGTATTATTGTCCAAAGTAGTGGGAATATAAGATTACCTAAAATTTAAAGGTAATAATATTCCACCATTTTAACAAAAAAAATATTATTATTAAAAAAATAATAATTCCAATAATATAAGATTCCGTGAACTTAACGTGATAATATAATTAAAAAAAACATTTTCCTTAATAATATAAGATTTCACAAATCAAAAGCACACTAAAAATAATAATAAAAAATCAGCAATAAAATGTAGTACAACATCTAATCAATTAGCCCTTTTCCTCTAAACCCAACCAAAAATGGTACAGAAATTTAGGGGGAAATGAAAAGAAAAAACACCCAGATAGAAAACATGAAAAATTTCACTATTTGGTGAGAATTGTTAAGAAAATGAAGTTATTGTCAAAAGACGCCTTACAGAAAACAGAGAAAAAAAGGGGGGGAGAGAGAGAGAGAAGAACAGAGAAAAGCCATGTCCTGCAAAGGCTTCCTGCTCTTCTATTGGGGCAGCTGTTTGCTGGATAAATAATAATAATTTCTTTAAAAAAGTCACGAAAAAATATAAAAAATAATTATAAATTAGATTATATTTTAATAAATTAATGCACTGTTTTTTTATTTGGATTAAGGAAGTGGGAAAATGGTATAATGTCAAAATTAGCCCTAATATTTATAAAACGGTTATTTTGGGACCCTAACATTTCATTTTATGACAAAGAGATCCCTAACATTTATTCAATTAATCACTTTAACTTTTATTTTTTTCTAGAGTATTTTAACCTCTAACATTTCATTTAAAGATAAAAAGATTCTTATTTTAGAGCAATAAACCGTGAATCATTTGATATATTTTTTTGCACTAAAATGAAACGTTAAATCAAAATAATCAAGAAAAGTATGGTCCAAAATAATAATTTAATCAAATATTAGAGATTTTTTTTTTGACATTATGCCAAAACTTCCTCCTAATTCTTTTACCAGAGTAAGAAAAAAAATGAAATTTACCGAGTTACCGGGTGTAACCGGTAATTAAGCCACCGGACCCGCACACCACACGTGCAGTCATATCTGTTTTTTTCCCGTAATCTCCCTACTTTTAATTTTAAGTACCTTTAATTTAACAGTTAATAAAGGTATTAATTAAAAAAGGTTAAATTCTATTTTATGTCCCTGATAATTTTTATTCCATCTTTCAATCAAATTCTACTAATTACAAAAGATTTTTGGGAAAAAAAGGAGAATGGGTACAAATCTTCTAATGTTTGTTCTTTTAGCTAAACAGAATCAATTTTCATCTTAAAAGATTTCATCCACATATGTTATGTGGTTACAATCTGATTTCATAATTAAAAATAATTCAAAGAAAAGAAGATATTCCAACCAATATTACACTGATTTACAATAATCCTTACTATTTATATTCATTTAAAATTTTTACAAGAAATAAGAATTGAGGTTTTATTTAAATAAAACAATGAAATGATTACCTTTCTTGTTGCCGATAAATTTGAGATGAATACAAAATAATATTTGTTTAAATACTTTTAGCCTTTGTTAATGAACATTCATAAATGTACATAGGCGGTGATTGAACTTGAAACATCAAGAGATAACAACAAATTCCTTACATATTGAAGTCGCTTGATTCATGCTCTTGTTAGTATTTTTAGTTAAAATAATTTGGCCCATAGGGCTATTACCGAGAACTTTAGGGAGGAATGAAAAAAATTATGTTTGAGGGGTAAAATTTTAAAAATATAAGAAATTACTAACTTATAAAATTTTAAAATTCAAAAATAATTTTTTAATAAAATAATGTATAAAAAATAAAATATATAACAATTTTAAAATTTGAAAGGTCTATTGATCCTACCCGCTCCACTGTGATCCATCCGTATAGAACTTCCCAATACATTATAATTATTATTGTTTTGTATTTATATGTGTTTATTTTAGGTAAAGTGCCAGCAAAACATTTGATCAGGACAGTTTTTGCTTTGACTGCACGCCTCTGCTGCTTCGCTTTTCCGGTCATAACGTTGACTGCTTTGCCCCTCTTCTAGATCTAGTCAATGATACCCTGCCACGTACGTTATGCGAACCCTGTCCTCCCGACTCCCTTCTCGGTTTCTGTAATCTTAATTATTTAATAATCGATTAATTAAATATATATATATATATATATGTATTATCTCCTTTCTTGGTGCATGGTGAAGTGCGTGTACAGCGCAATATAATTTAAGTATATCATTGTCTACTGTTTCTGTTTCTGTTTCTGTTTCGATGTTGATATAGATTTGTATTAGTTTGTTTTAACATATTATCCTATTTTTAAAGGCTTCTCACATATAATTTAATTTATTTATTTATTTACTCAAAAATACCTTTTATATTCAATACATATAAGAATAAAACTCATTACCTTAATTCGAAAATCAATGAATATCAAACTACATGTCATATATATTTTTAACTGTCATATTTGTTTTATAATTTATATCTAAAATTTAAGATTATTTTTTTATAATATAGAAACAAGAATGATGTGTATCTAAGGTTTCAAAGATTTAGCTGGCAGCTGGTGCTCAAAATTATATTTTAAATGAATATAATGGAATTAGGTTTACATTGAATTATAATAAAGATAGATTAAAAGATTTGAGTTGTTTCAAAATTTGATCGAGGAGGTTGAATTTAATAAGATTAATTGCTTCTTAAGGGTGGGCAGGCATGTTGTTTTGGATTCGTATGCCGTCTAGTTTTATATTAAAGGTGGTGGGTGAGATTTAATCCAATTACTTTATATATTAATATTAAGAGTTAATCGCATCATATGTCCTCAAACTATGACCCTTAATTCAAATTATTCCTTAAACTTTTAAACATTTTAATTTCATCCCTAAACTTTTGGATACTCCAATTTCATCCCCAAAATCATCCTAATATGTAATTAGTTTCAACCATAATTTAACCTAATTTTTTAAATGTGTAATAATATAACTTGGCTTAAAGGTTTTATTAACAATAGATGTGATTAGTATATACATATAATTTGGGATAAAATTGAAATGTTCAAAAAGTTTGGGGATCAATTTAGAATGAAGATAATAGTTTGGGGATGAAATTGAAATATTTAAAAGTTTAGGGGTCAATTTAGAACAAGGATCATAATTGAAGGATGTGTGGTATAATTAACTCTAATATTAAAGATAACATCCAACAAAATATTGTGGATTGAAATGTTAATATTTTTAAATTTTCTCTCAAGCTACGATCTTTGTGTTAAAACAATCGAGTGGGGTGAAATCAAGAAAAGGTTTAAATTGATATGGATTTTAAACCTAAGTTTTCCATAAACCTAAAAACATTAGGGAATCACATGAGCCTACGCTACCAATATAGGGTGTCACATGACCCATGTAAAATTGAATTTTGTTCCTGCACTCATCAACTTTATATATAAAATATATGTTAGTGTATGTGTGTAAATGTGTGAGATGATATTGATTTAGATCAATTTTAAAAGTTTTAATATTATTGTACACTAATTAAAGTTAATAAGACATGAACCGGGGTTGATTCAAGTTTTAATACGATTGTACACTAATTAAAGTTAAACATATTATGAGTTCGAGTCTGAAGTTTTTTTTTTGAAAGATTCACTCATCAAAAGTCAAGCATGTGACACAAATCAATTCGGATTATTCAAAGCAAAACCTTGGAAATAGGGAGGACTAAAAACTAATAAGATGTGAAATTAGTGATTTCAAATGTTAAATAATATATATTTTTAATTTTGTTGCATACAAAAATTACTTAAGAGTTTAACTTAATCATCAAATTATATATTTGTAATAGAAAATGCAAGGAAGAATTAAGATAATCAATTTCAATTTAATCAAATCAATTGAAGTGTGTCAAAATATGTATTGAAAAATATATCATATTAAATCGGAGGTTAGGTAAAAAAGTGTTATATAATTTATTTGATTTTTATATTGCGAATAAATTAAATTAAATTGTAATAAATATTCTTCTAATAGATTTATACATTATTATACTCAAATTAATTACCTAATAAATTTTAATGATTAAAAATATGTATTAATTTCATATTAATAAAAAATATGTATTAATATAAAACAGTGATTGATGCTTTTCTTTTTTTCAAATATGTGTTTTTATTTTTTATTTCTTGGAAGAATTATTATTTTTCTATCATGAAATTCTTTTTTTTTATTAATATGAGGTAAGTACAAGATAATATTTGTTTAAAGATAACTCTCAACTTATCGATGTTGATCGTTCACGTTCCTGGCATCTATGGTGCTCGAACTCGAGTCCTCAAAGAATAACAACAATTCATTTATCACAGAAGCCATTTGATTCAAACCTATCGTGAAAATTCGATTATCCAAAATGAAGATAT